TTTTCTACTGCATAACTGATTGCTCAGAGTTTAAAATCCGCTTTGTAAGCATGTCTCTTCGAGGGGTGCCATTTTGGAGTCGTTATACACACACAACACGGTAATGTTATGTTGAAGCACAGTACGTATTACTCCACGAGGTTCCTGGCAACGGTAACCGTAATGCTCCAAAAAGTGGTACTAAAAAATGTTTTTGACAGATTTTTGAGCATCGTGTACCACACAAAATCAGCTTGAGGTCAGTAAGCATAAACCAAAATTCATACATAAGGGGCACTGTCGATTTTTGTGAAGATTTCAGGATTTTACATGCGCCTTATAGTGCGGAAAATACAGTAATTTCTTCCGATTTTTAAACCCTGCCCAGTGATCTAATTACATGAGAATCTTACAAAATTGCTTTTCCTTGTTTTAAACTGAGCTTCTCTTTGTGTAGGTATGGACTGAAGGGATTGCTTTAGGGCAGTCCTGTCTGCAACACCTGAGGGAACAACAGATGAAGATCATCCAAGACATGGTAGCCAAACAGAGCTACACACTCAACAGGTAAAATCGTAAAAAATATTTATGACATATTGAGTGTATAAAAAAACTAGGTCTGCACTGTGGCCAAATCCACTTATGAGTTAATAGGAAGTAATGGAATGTAATATTTCTCTTAGTGAAATGGGGAAGCTGATAGAGAAGAAACATGAGCACTTTCTGCTGGTGGTGCAGAGGCACTTTGTGGTCAGGCACTTTTGTCTACATATGCTGAAAGAGATGAGGCTGTCCAAGCTGAAGGCACTATCTCAGACTGATTTCAGAGCTCTACTAATAGAAGATCCCAGTAAAAACCCACTGTGTGTCAATTTAACTCTCAAGGTGGGAAAATTCACACATATAAACACAGTTGTTTTTAATTTGTTCAGTGTTTTAATAATTCTTCTGTTGAACACTGTTATCTGCTAACAGTCACAGAATGGCAGGCCGAGCCTAGCAGAGAGACATCTGGGCCCAGAGAGTCAGCTCTTGGGGAATAGCTTCCAGCAGGAGTTCCTGTCTGAACTGGAAACGGGAACAGAGCTCCTTCAGAGCCATGAACAGCTGGTACTAGGCAACACCCTAAGCTATGCCATTCAACAAATGAGGGAAGACCCGCCTACAGAGTTACAGACCGCTTCTAGCCTGAAGGTAAGACCTGGGTGAAAGTTATTTAATTTCACTTATTTTTATAAATGCCTAATAAACTGAGAATTAGCTTCCAGTGGTTGGTTTTCATTAGGTTGCAGGCTAAAACCTTTTTATTCCACTAGCACCACCTGACGGAAGCTGCTGCAGAGAGCGTTTACTTGACCAAAGATTCTCTTACTTCGCTGGTCCGAAGCTACTATTCCCACCTACAGGATATCACCAGAAAACTGCGCCAGGATGATTCAAAAATAAACCAGGGTGAGACAGACCCAGCACGAGTTTAGTTTTTAAACTAAAGTAACCAGAGTAACCCTGTATTCATTACTGAGTACTCAGAAATCTTGAAGGAGCTGCCTTCTTATTTGTAAAATAATTTTCTCATTTGTTACAAATGTCCCCTTCCAAATAATCCCAAAGGAGTTCTTTCGGTTTGAAATCTGGTGACTGGAGGACAATTAAGTACAATGAACTTATTGTCAACAAACCACTTTGAGCTATTTGATGCAAAATGGTTGAAGAGGAAGGATGGATTGGTGCTTTCATGTTGGTTACACTCGATTTGTATTTCCAATGTTTTGGTGAGCCTAGCCTCAGTTTCCTGTTCTTAGCTGACAGGTGTGCCACTCATTGTGGTCTTCTGCTGCTGTAGCCAATCTACTTCAAGGTTGATGTGTTGTGTGCTCAGAGATGCTCTTTGGTATACCTTAGTTGTAACAAGGTATGAAGAATAGGAGTTGTTACCTATAAACTACTTCAAGGTGATAGGTAACTCATATATAAAGTGGTTATTTGATTTCCCTCAAAAGGAGGCAATACTCTAGGCATTTTCTCCCAGTACACAGCACTGACTGTGAACACTTAGCGAGTGTTACTGTAAGAGCTGTGATAGTACAGGGTTGAAATAAACTGTTAACAGAAGAGAGCAGATGATGCTAGTCAGATGCGTTGTTATTGCTTAAGCTATGAATGATTTCCTGTAAGGAGGAAGGAGAAGCTGAAATGACTTGCTTCAGAAGTGCACGATCGAATAGAGTTCACCATTTTCCAATGTGAGATAACTGAAGCTTCTTTTGATCTGTGAATCAAGAAGAGGTGTTCTATTAGAGTCAGAAAATAACATAATAGAGCTGAAATGAGCATAATAAATGGCAAGTTTTACATTTAAAATTGTACGGCAGCTAGTAGTCAGTAGACAGAAAATCCACCTTACTCTTTTTACTCTTGTAAACATTTCCTTCAATCCTTCAGAGGTGAATGAGGGGCAAGAGAGCAGCAGGGCCTTGCTGAGAGAGCTAATGAACTGGAGCAAGAAACCCGGATCTGCTGAATTCCAACAGAGGTACATAAAACTGGTAGAGCTGGTATTTTTTTTTTTCAGTGGTACTTTATTGTAAATTAATTCTTACAAAACATGTACAGTGGTCCCTTGGTATAATACGGTTCACCTTTCGTACCCTCACTGTTTCGACGATTTTTTTTGGTGTGCAATCTTGCATGCTTTTTTTTACTTATTTATTTTTTTACAGCACATTGTGTTCTGTGTCCTGATCAGCTGGAGACCATTGTCAATCAATCTCCTCCGTGCTGTGTCTCCTGTACATTACAGAATGCGTTCAGCTTGTCAAATTTCGATCGCTAGCATTGTGACTCGAAGTGCTGTACTGTATGTTTGTAAGTTTTCTCCCCAACAAACAAAACAATGTCGACGAAACGTTTTGCACCGTAGAAGGTACCTGCCCTAGCACCCGAAAGGCAGAGGAAGATGCTAACCATCGCACAAAAAGTTGGACTTCTGGACATGCTAAAGGAAGGCAGAAGTTACCCGGGGGGTTTTCAGACCATATGGCACAACGGATTATACAGGGTGGGCCATTTATATGGATACACAGTAATAACATGGGAATGGTTGGTGATATTAAAGTCCTGTTTGTGGCACATTAGTATATGTGAGGGGGCAAACTCCTCAAGATGGGTGGTGACCATGGTGGCCATTTAGAAGTCGGCCATCTTGGATACAACTTTTGTTTTTTCAATAGGAAGAGGGCCATGTGACACATCAAACTTATTGGTAATGTCACAAGAAAAACAATGGTGTGCTTGGTTTCAACGTAACTTTATTCTTTCATGAGTTATTTACAAGTTTCTGACCACTTATAAAATGTGTTCAATGTGCTGCCCATTGTGTTGGATTGTCAATGCAACCCTCTTCTCCCACTCTTCACACACTGATAGCAACACCGCAGGAGAAATGCCAGCACAGGCATCCAGTATCCGTAGTTTCAGGTGCTGCACATCTCGTATCTTCACACCATAGACAATTGCCTTCAGATGACCCCAAAGATAAAAGTCTAAGGGGGTCAGATCGGGAGACCTTGGGGGCCATTCAACTGGCCCACGACGACCAATCCACTTTCCAGGAAACTGTTCATCTAGGAATGCTCGGACCTGGCACCCATAATGTGGTGGTGCACCATCTTGCTGGAAAAACTCAGGGAACGTGCCAGCTTCAGTGCATAAAGAGGGAAACACATCATCATGTAGCAATTTCAAATATCCAGTGGCCTTGAGGTTTCCATTGATGAAGAATGGACCCACTATCGTTGTAACCCATATACCACACCAAACCATCACTTTTGTTGTTCCAACAACTGTGTCACATGGCCCTCTTCCTATTGAAAAAGTTGTATCCAAGATGGCCGACTTCTCAATGGCCACCATGGTCACCACCCATCTTGAGGAGTTTGCCCCCTCACATATACTAATGTGCCACAAACAGGACTTTAATATTACCAACCATTCCGATGTTATTATGATGTATCCATATAAATGGCCCAGCGTGCTACTTCGCGGGTTATTTTTAGAACGTAACTTGCTCGATAAACGAGGGACCACTGTATATAATTTTCAATTTATCTTTGTTTTCAAATTTATTAGGGTTGAACTTCACAAAAGAAAGGTGCTGGAGCAATATGATCTGGATCAGGAGATGACTTGCGAGCAGCTTAGGCAAAAGAAAATAGCCCAGGATCAAACCATGCAAAGGGTCAAAGAAGAGTTACTGGTTAGTATGCTTCGTCTGCACTGTACTTTTTGATAGTAGGTGTATTTACATCCTTTAGATGTGTTGTGTTAACATTGTGATGCTTTGTCCATTAGGAGGCAGAAGAAAGCTTCATAACTGAGCTTGCAGCTTTGGCCCGGATTTCTGTCCAGAGCCATGATCCAGAACACAGCAGTGAAGAGGACGACATTGGTAACCACCCTTACCCCAGACAATTAAATTGTGTATATTCCCATTTCACTCGTTCATGTCCTTTTTAATTTGTTTGCGTTTGAACAGGTGATCAGAGTGCCCCGATACTGGACCTGCTGGCCCTTAATCCAGCATTAGATCCAGCTTTGAACCCTTCACTCACCCCGACTGTAGTAACACCAGTGAAGAGTTCAAAACAGAAGAAGGAAAGAAAACGAGAATCTCATCAGAGTTGACATCATTTCACAGCGTTGACATTTTCCTGCAGTAATATTCTGTAAAAGGTTGACTCTTTTGTTGTTGTTATAGTTTTCCTCTTATAAAGCCAAAATGTCTCTGTTGATACTAGTATTGTCATAAAAAGGTTTTAAGTCAGAGTTTAAATACTGTTATTCTGAAATGTTTCCCTCAGTTTTTCTGTATTTTTAAGTGTATCATGACATAACAACTCACTGAAAGTGATGAATTGTGTCTTTCTTTCATACCCGACTATGAGAGCTGCTACTCAACTGGCCCTGTCAGTAAAGCATTTACTGCCTACACCCACACTGCTTTTCATACCACTGCTCATTCTCTGTATTGATTCCTGAGTACACAGGATGATGGATGCTTTTCTAGTGAGTTGTTGGATGAATTAGAGATGTCCATCCTCATTGTAGCAGAGTGCTACTACTCAGCGATGAAAGCCTCGCATCTCTCTTGGTCTAATGGGGTTTTAAGTACAACCCTTTATGGATGATAATGCAGAGTAATGGTGAAAACTCTGGGAGGGCTGGAGTCTGGCAGACACTTTTGTGTGTGCACAGCAATCCAGCAGGCAATTTAGCCTGCACCTTATGGTTCACTGTCGGTTTGAAGTTGAAGGAGTGTCAATTAGCAAACATCAATTTTTAATCTGCCCTTTATTTTCATGCTCATCTTGCACACATAGCCAATTATTGCCATGGCAGCCTGAGAAAATATGCTCCAGGTCCTGACCCACTCTTGCTCATCACAGTGCCCTGCCAAGAGTGTTTCTCCTGCACTGTGTCAGTTAGAAATGTCGGTGTACTGTTGACTTTACAAGTGTCGTCGCTGATCTGTGGTGAGGGGAAACCGTTTGGATGTATTTTGAGGTCCCTTAGGGGACTGCAGGGACTTGTGGGAAGATGACCTGATTTCTAATTTTCTCCTCTCCTGCCTGGGCTGTGGGCTCGACACTGATTCAAACGCAGAGAAGCCCGTGAGAAGAGTGACTAAAACGATGCTACACCAGACCTATTTGGAATACGGTTTCTCTGTCAGTGTAAATCTGGATGTTTGGTTGATGGATACAGGCGTGGCTGTAATTCTGCACTGGTAGATTCAGGTAAGTGGAAATACACTTAGGTTTGCCTTGGGATATGCTTCACTGTTACTGACGTGTTTATAACCTAAATTGCATATTTGCAGCATTTTTCTGTAATTGGTTTTATCCCATCTGACACACTAATCCAAAAGAGGTCATGGTCTTTTTTTTTCTTTCTTTAAAAACAAAAGAAAGACAGCGGTCCATACTGTTTGTATATTTAGATCATTTACAAATGCAACAATTGGAGTTTCCAAATGCACGTCAGTATGTTCATCCATATGGTCTTCATTTGTTCAGTAAATGCCCTGAAGCTGTTAATAGAAAAGGTGGATTAAAAATGTCCAGTGAGGTAAGTGTGCGCAGTGTGACGCCGTCATCAGATCAGATGATCGTTTATTTTAGGACCCCAGAATAAGGTCGCTTTCCAAAACTGAAAAAAGTATCCTCTGTACAGGAAGGTGTCTGAATCACTTCTGTAACTAACAGAAACTTGTAAGCTAATATAAGAACCTCAGCATAATAAATGTGACTGTAAAATGAGTAAGACATCCTTTAGAACCGGTAAACTATATTTTTTTATAATAATAATACAAAAGAAATGTGTAGTAGTAGTAATGCCTAGGCTACAATAACTTCACTTACATCACTATTGTTTTTTGTTATTTATACACAGCATGTGTATTATTCTGATTTAAGTAATTCAACAAACATGCTTTCCTGGGGAAACTATTTTATCTTCACTCACTTTTTGACTGGTCAAATATAGGACTTCAATTCCCTTTGCAATCATGTTTAAGTGGCTTTAATACTTAGTAGTTTTGTGGCATTGTCTTGCATTTGAGAATTGCTATATTTAAATTGTAGCAAACTTTGCCTATCCTAACTGCTTTCTTCTGCTTGTCAGGTGAGCAACCATGGCTAACCTGCAGCAGGAATACCCTGGAGTTCTTCTGGGGATCCTGGAGGAACTGGCCAATATGCGCCAGTGGCTTACGTTCCAGGATCTTTGTCGTATGGTCAGCAGCCGCTTTGACCTCGAGCACCTTATTGAGCTCAGGAGTTTGCTCTTTGCTGCAGCTAGCAGGGATCCCTGTTTCCCAGCCACTCTGTTCAGGGACAGAGTTTCTACCAGAGGCCAGGGGCTATCACCCATAGGTGTCGCTGCTGACATAGTAACTATCTTCAATCTTATTCAGATGACGGGTGGGGTCTCTGAAGGGAGCCAACCAATGAGAGCTCCCACTGTCCTGCCTGTTGACCAGTCCCCAGGCCCCAGTCTGCCTGGGATCCACCAGCTGAATATCCCTGGTCGAGAACGAGTACGCACCCACTCTGACTCCAGTGGCCAGCCTATTGACCAGCACTTGCTTTTTCCAAAATCAAATTACTCAGCGCGGAAACGAGCAAGTCTTCCCCCGGATCCTATCTCACTTGTGTCCTCCCCCCCAATAAGAGCGAGGGCTGTGTCTTTCGACTTGCCTCACACCACCCTTCTGTATCCTAGCAGTCAAATCTCTGACAACGCAATGAAGAATATCTACCTACCCTTGGAAACAGACAGTGAGTCTAGTGGAGATTCTGCCACCGTGGAGGTGTTTGAAGCTGAACAGGGAACATCGGTTGACCAGAAGAGAAACATCTTCAGGAAAGACTTCCACAACCAGCCACCTTTAATACCCCAGGTCACTGTTAGCAGTGAGTCTCCCAGTCCCAACAAAGGGCAGAAAGGATTCGATAATCTCAGCTTTGATATGATCCCTAATCCTTACCCATCACCAACAGCAGTTTACCAGACTCCAGAGCAGCGAGTTAAACATGAAAGCTTGGATGACCTACAGGACTCAACGTATTTCGGACCCGGCTCTATCCCGGAGCCATCCCCACGGCACCTTCAACCTCCTAGGACAAAAAAGCATGCATGGAGCAGTAAAAGTCACAGTCTAGAGGATCGGCTAGGCCTAGACAGCATTGGGATGGGCATAGAATCACAAGGGGGGCAACTTCCAAGACGTTCAACCCCTGCTATCAGTAGGGGCTTTGGGGGGTCTTCAGGAGGAGAGAGTGGAGATAGTGGATTGCCAGGTGGAGCTGATGGATTCAAAGCTCAGGCAACACAGACAGACCCACCGGACCCTCGGCGACTCCGTAGCCTTGTTCATGCTGATCGCCTCTCTTTTATGACCTCATTAGATGACCCTGAGTTTGGGGAAGATGACATCAGTGCAATCTTTCGTTTCTTAGATGACATTAGTATGTGTGGTTCCACAGGAGTCCTGCACCCCAGTGATAGCACCGCTAACCAGGACACCCCTGAGGCTAGACGTGGCCGGCTAGGTCAACTCCAGAGGCTCTTTCACTCTCTAGAAAGCAGTGACGATGGGCTGAAAGCCAGTGTCTGTAAGTTACTGCTTCGTATGAGCCAGATAGAAAGACAACTAGAATCGCTGAATGATGTGAAGTCTGAGATTTCCCAGGTACTTTCTGCTTTACAGCGATTAGATGAAAAGATCCAGCAGCCACCCGGAGGTGGCGGACAAGTTACAGGTGGGAGATGGCTTGAACCTCTTAGTGGTGTCTCCTCTTTCATGAGCCACCCTTTAACTCCTTCAGAATCATCAGAACCTCAACCTTTGTCTGCATCTGGACATCTGTTTCCCGCTACCAGCTCCAGTAGTCTGGACTGGAGCCGTTGGAATACTCCAGGAGATCAAACAGAAAGCAGCAAAGGTCAGGCAGATTCAAAGGGCGTGAAAGAAGGGAAGAAGGATGCATCATCTAGTCGTGCCTCTAAAACCCAGCCTGAAGAGAAAAGTGTCTCTGACTCCAAACAACTGAATGTGTCTAACTCTGCAAGAGACTGGACTGTGTCATTCTCGAAAAGTAAAGATGGCAAAGCTTCACAAAGAAAAACCGGGCAGGTAGAGTAATTCCACATAGTATTTGATCCTATATTTTCTATGATACAAAAAATAAATGTTAGATTAGAGATTAGTTCATAAGCATATAATTAATCGCCCTTAAACGTACATAACAGTTTCAGCCATGAGTATAAACATGATGTTCAGCCTCAAAAAGGCATGTTTTTAACTCTGTATTTTGCCGACTAGACATCTGTGATTATGTGGTTGTTTGACAAGTGAGCTATTGGTTTAAACTTTTAGGATGACTAAGATTTGGTCAAGACTGAAAAGAAGTATATTGAAATGTATATACATTGTGGTATTTAGCATAACTAACATTGTCGACTTACGGAATTTTAAATACTTTAAAGATGTGTTGTCATCTAAACAGCATACATAAAATCTGTGTTTTGTGCATATTTATTCTAGGCAGATCAGTCGGGCAGCACCACTAACCTACTCTCCCAAAAGCCTGCCAGCCTGGTGGAACAAGTGTTTAACTCATCCCTGTTCCACCACAAAGACAGCAGTCTCACAGGGGGGCTAAGCTCTGGAAAGGTCCTGGACCCTAGATTGGCCGAGGGAAGGGGAAGACCAATATGGACTGTAGATGACAGAGAAGCACGAATCTCACCATTGGACTTACAGGCAAGAATTTCTGACTTTTAAAGCGACACAAGCAGTGTGGAAATGACACAAGCAAATATGTTGTATGGTTTTTTTTTTTGATTGCCTAATATCAGTGCCTAATGCAGAGTCAGCTGACATCCATATCGATCAGTCAAACTTTATTTATATTTATGTGTTGCACATTTAATGTCTTAGTGCAAAAGGAAATGAATGGTCAGCCAATAAAAACATGGAACAAGTGTGAAATAATAAATATATATCTACTTGGTATAGAAACTAAATGGAATTATGTCCCTCAGGCTCCCGAGTCTCTGAACCCGAACAACATGGAGTTCTGGATGGACGACATCTACAATCCAGGCTACGATGCTCTACTCAGGCGTAAAGAAGCTGATCTCCGCCGGGCCAAGATCTGCAAGCTGATTGCACTCATAGCCACTGCAGTGACTATCATTCTCATCATCGTTATTCCCATTTGCACTATGGGCCAGTGAAGCCTCTTCCAGAAAACTCACTTTCTTGCCTGATTTCATTTAATTTGTTAATATATTTATTTTCAGCAGCTATGAGCTGTGCCTAGGACCATATATGGGATTCTTATTGAGATTAGTGGAGGAGAGACTGTGACTCTTGAGCGGGTTTGATGATCTGCGAATGATCAATACCTCCTTTTATTTCTCTGCATGCACCATCATTATTTATTACTTCAGAAATACAGGAGGATTTTAACTGTTACTGGAAATTACATATAGCCATTCCCTCGTACAGTTACATACACACTGTAAATCATCTCCCGTGCCATTTTTTTCTCCCATTTGCTATGATTTATTTCATGACTTATGTTCCTACTAAACTGAAGCGACTGCAAAGGAAGTAACTAACTTTAAAGGTTTTAAACAGTTCTACAGTAACTGATAGCATATGTTGAAACTAGTAATACTGAGCCAATGCAAAAGGAACTTTTTATTTTTTTCCCCTCCTTTCGTCTGCACTTTTCTGAGAAACAGCACTGTTAAAAAATGCATTGTGAATATGCTTGAGCACTGAACACTGCCTGACTTGTTCTTGCTGTTCCCCTGAGAACAAACTAGGGCTTATTTCACCTCTATGTAAGATAATTGTTTCATTAGTAAATCAGAGTTTAACATCTGTAATTTATAAATAGAGTTGGATTTCTTTTTATAATTAAGTTTAGTTTCAACATTTCTTCTTGTACTTTAAAAGATATACTGCTCATAAAATGTTAAGTTATTAAAAAAATAATATTTTTATAGAGTTTTCGCCCATTTTCAAACTGTCTAATCCATTTTTGAATGTGTCTGACTTGTGGAGCAGAGTGTTTACCAAGCGTCAGGTTTCACGAAATGAAAGTTGTTGTTGTTTTTGTTGTCGTTCGTGATGCTTTGGCTCTGGAGCAGTGAAAAAAGGAGGGAGCCCTTTCCAGTAACCGCTCTCTGAGTGGATGATTCCACTTGTAATTTAATTGATGGGATGTTTGGAGTCCACCTATGCACATTATCTTTTCACAGTACTCACTTGCCAATAGCTTTTCCACATTTTTGCAGACTCACTTAGCAGATTCCTCTGCTGTCCTTTGAAAACGTCCTGTGAACTAAGTATGCTAACTTTTTGTCCCTGACTAAAGAATACATTGCGGCTGATGTCAAATCTGTTCATCTATAGTGGGATACAACAATATATCTCTGCAACAAAACTACCTGTGTAAAGCTTCTATCTTTCAGCTTTTGCTGTCAGAGTGCTGTTGCTTGAACTCCAAAGTAAGGCTGTGATGTAATGTGCAGAGTTCCCTTTATTGTGGTTAAAATATAAAGCACACTTACAGTAGACTGTAATCTAATACATCCTCATCGGAAACCACAGCCTTTCAATGACCAGATAATTGAATTAAATACACCACCTCAACAAAAATGTAACATTGTAAGCTGCTCAACTTCAGTATTTTTCAGGACTAATTGGATTGCATTGCATCTTTTAGGTGCACATCTTCCTCTGATGTGGATTGGACAGTTGTCATGCCATAAAAACTTCACTTTACACAGGATGTATAGAGAGAGTGAGTCGTGCTTCAGTGTATGGGCCTAAGTAGATGCACTATATACCTGCCAAGTGCTCCCCATGAGGCTGTTTGTGGATCCATTACCTTTCCAATGGTGCCAGTGAGAAGACTTAACTCAGCACAATCTGCAGGGTGCTTCCTTTCAAACTTCTGTGCATTAGACCATCCTCATACTTTTTTAGTCTTGAAATGCACATAACACTTTTGTTTGTAATGTCGATATTGTTTTTGTAGTATCCACGCAACTTTTAGACAGACAGAGGAAATCTGTAAACTTGTTATTCGAGTAAACAATGCCTAAAAAAGAAAACTTGATCGCGAATGTAAGAAAAACATGTCACCATACAGTTTTCTGGTGTGCAATGCTTCAATGATGCAAGGATGTTTGTTGACTTGCCTGTCTGCATAAACTCATTAAAAGGGGTGTGTGCCTTTTACAGCAGTTTGTCTGATTTAATAAACTCTAAATGCAAACCTAAATGTAATATATCATAATCATGCACTTATAGCAACACAGAGAATGGGGGACATCCTGCAGAAAAGAACTGCACTGCAAATTTAATTATGTCTCATTTTTCCTCAAGTGTGTGGTTACACTTGCAGACAGAACAAGTCCATCCATTTTAAGAAAGAGCTGCTGATTAGAGGGGAAAAGAGATATTCTGGCAGTCAAATGATCCATGACTAGAGGAAATGTACAAATAAAGATGAATAATTGATAAAGACATAAAGGACGCATCGACTGACAAATCTGATTATCTCAAATCAGCTATAGTGGACTTGAAGTACTCAGACAGTTCTGAAGTAATGCTCATTTAAAAAAATAAAAAAATAAACCAGCTAAAACCTTTTTTTGAATTGTAAACTGTTCTAATATGGACACTTACATGTAAGTTCTGCAGTTGAAAGCGTGTGTGTGTGTTGTTGTCATTAAATCTTGCACAAAGAGCTCCTGCTACACCCAGATATGCCATCCGCTGCTGATTAATGATGCTGTTGGTTGCATCCCAGTTGGCACGATGATGGCAACGAGACACAAGGCACAATTACTCACTGTTTCACAACTTTATAATTTCACACATAATTTCCCATTGCTGTATTGCATTCAATAATATACACAGAAAGAGCAGGAAGTATATATATTGTGGTGGCTTATAGTGAAAACTGCATAGTCTATATATAAAAGTTACTGATATCACTGACTAATATTTACTCACAGTCAGTAAGGTAGGCATGTCAAACTAAGTGGCCTCATATGAAAATCTTAAAAAAATAAAAACATTTAATACTTTTGTTCTATACATTTCAGGAATATTAAAAATGCCCATGATGATTATTTGTTTGTTTAAATAAATAGATAGATAGATAAATAGATACTTTATTGATACCACTGTGAAACTGTTGTGTTGCAACAGCATGATAAAGAATAAAAAATAGTACAGTCTACAATAAATAACAAAGAAACAGCACTTTGTAGTGCCACAGCCGCCTTATACTCAGGGGCGGATCAACAAGGGTGTTATATGCCACCCTAAAATAATCTCTTGCCACCCGTAGTGCCACCCTAGGTTTTTGCATATGCCAATGTTGTTTTTTAAAATAAGCTAGCATTAACACTTTGAGCCTAGCTACAGTTAACACTGAATACCTAAAACTGAGTATATTGCATACTGTTACCCTCCCTCCCCACTACTAAAAAATGGTTATTTCTTGTTGTCAGTAGTAACCAATGCCTTTGATTGTGCCGAGCAATGATATTTTTAAAACTGATGAAAATCCTAGGCAAGACTCCACTCCTCTGTGAGGAAACATCTGAACCGTTATCTGTGTAAGTATGTTTTTCTAACATAATATGTAAAGTTGGTAACAGTATGTTTTTAGAGGCTTGGTGGAGGACAAGAGGTGGTTGCTGTGGTGATGGGTGAAGTGGCGTGTCCACAGAAGGAGATGCTCAGAAAGCTGCAGAAGAAGACGTGTGCTGAAGTGCTGAATCTCAGCCAAATACAGACAACTGTGTGTATGCTCAATCATCTAGTGGGCTGGTTTCAGTCATTGTGCGAATGTACTGTTTATAAGTTTGGGGAAACCTGCAGTCAGCTGAGACTAAAGAAGTCACTTGGTTGAGTGACGAAACGTTTCTCCCACTACGTCCAGATGGACAGAATCAACCTTTTGGGAAGGACAACTGTGGCTTTTCTCCAACTTTTGGCCAATCATGTTAGTGTCCTGTTTATCACACATAATAAAAAGCATTTACTCTCTGTGTGTGATGTTAATGTGCAAATGTAATTTGTTACTATAGAGAATATGCACAGGACTACTGATATAGGGCTGTGTTTTTGTGGCACTTAAGTTTAAATTGGTCATGGACAGACATTCTTCCATAGCATGAAGAACAGCAAAGGTCTAAGGCAGTTTTGAACTAGTAATATTCGTTTTCGAAATGATTCTTAGTTTTAGAAATTTCAGATATTTTTTAACCGCTTTCATATGCAATCATGCAGGGCATTTATTTTGACTGAAGTGATCATTGGTGCTCAAGGCATCGTGCTTTAGAATTGAATTTCATCTTCAGGCTTTAAAAGCATTATACAGTGAAAAGACTTGTGTATCATTCTTACATTCAACAACTTGTGACCAGGGCTATCTTAAATAAACCAAACATGACTGAACAAAGGTGAATAAACTCATTTACTCTTTCATCAGTCTGCAAATAAATACTGTGATGGTCGTCAGGCCCACACCAAGTCCTGAGTTTGACATGCCATGAATCAGCTATTATTGTCATGTTTTAGAGTAGTTAGTACTGTAAAGCTAAGATTGGGCTTGTTTTACATTTTGTATTTTATAGCCACAGGTTTGCTTTATGTGTTATTACAGGACATGTTTTTTTGAAAAGCATCTCCAAGCTTGAAAGCTGGGCAGGCACAAGTCCATTTATTTTGTTATGAGTTTGAGTAAATGAATGAATGAATTTGTTCGCAGCTGGAAGAGGGTGCTGTTAAAACAACCCTATTATTTTTTTCTGTTGACTGCTTCTCTTAGCTTCCACCAACATTATTACCAAACATACTCATGGGCAAATAAATAAATCGCTCTTGTACAAATGATCGGTGAAAGCCTCAGACTATCGTCGGTGGTCGATATATTCGTCCAATCGCCTAACCTTATCCTATATCATATTGTTGGGGTCCACAGAACACTTTTTTTTACATTTTACTTTGTAATTATTAAATGTTTGCAGGTGTACGCAGAGTTTGCCTGCACCACCACTGTCCCACTGACATCCAAATTCATGCAGCAGCTAGATCACCATTCCTTGCTGCTAATGAAAGTCTTCCAAAGGAAAGGAGGAGCTCTGCGATAAAAAACAATTAAGAACATAATTTTGAGTTGTTTTCGCAGCACATTTTGGGTCCTTATGGAGTTCCACTGTTAAAAGCAGTCCAATCAACCGACGTCAGACAAATTTGAGGAGAGATTATAGTACTGCACTGCGCAGTTATGAATTCATCCTGCTGCTTCTATCCGCAGTGGCATTATCTGAAGGGAACCAGTGTCCTGATTCCACTGCCCTGAGAATGGAGGCTTGACCCAGCAGGGAGCACCATCATACCAGCTGGTGAGTCTGGTGAGGCGGTGGAATGGTGTTCTCCCTCGGACTCTGCAGCACGTAAAAGGTGTCGTCAGCTGCAGTGAGTCTGGGGTCAATGAATCCCCTGAATGCAATATAAGGAAACTCCTTGGACCCTGTAACCAGGTCATGGTATAGCAAGAGGATTCTGGTACATCTTGGTGTTTTTGGTTAATGTCACAGCTGTATCGATTTTATGAGGCTATACTGTGTAAAAAAGGCTGGTGCGGTGTAGAGATTTACTTTAATTTGCCAGTTTTATTTGACTTTACAACATTTACGGAGAGATATTTTCAATAAAAAATGACAAATGCAGCAGCTTATTTAGTTTAAATTCTAACCTTCATAGGCTATTGTAAAAGCGTAACGGATAGCTATTTTTTAAATTTGAAATTTGCGTTTGTAAAATAGTTTAAAGTTAAAAGTTGGGCATAAATCATTATAAACAGGCGTTTGTTATACATTTCAGGTAAATTTTATTCTGTAGGGAAAAAGGGCGAAACGTCTTTATCAAACGCTCGGACAATATTTCACAGTACACCAATTTTATTGTACACGGGTTTTTTTGTTTATTTTATTTATTTTTTCCGCACGAAGATGATTTATTTTCTTTAAATATTTTGTGATGAATCGATGATTACAATACATTACATATTGCAATATTACAATTATTAAAATACTTATCGAAACTGTGAAACTAAATGAGATTTTTTTTTTTATTTTAAATATGATAACTATGGGAAACTTATTCTGAATAAATAAAGCCGATATGTTTATCCCTTCACCTCGCTTGGGTGACACTGGGAGTCAAGGTGCTAAGGTTTAGTGTTGAGGGGGCAGGAGCCAACAATCGAATTTGGTTTTCACGTGTGAGCGCTACCAGGAGCTTTTTCTACAAGTGCTGTGAAAACTGTACATCTAATGAACAAATTCTTTTTAACTAATGTTGAGGGAGATGTGGCCAAATTTGATCTTGTAAGCATAGTGTGCAAAATAAGTTATGGATACTGCGAGATGCTGATCTAAATAAATATATCATAATTATGTGAGTGCATTATGTGAGATTTACTTTAGTATTGCCGTCTATACAGGTGTCCAGATGTATGTTATGGGTGATAAATTTAAATTGTGTGCATACAATAAGCAGGCTTGAGGTTTCTCACCTGACTTTAGCTGTTTTATTTTCAATAGACTGATATTTAACCGAAATACAAATATGAAAACCTAAGTGCTGAACACGAATTCATTATTAAACATCACTGAAACTCTATGCAAGCTTAATGGCAATGTGTTCATGATTTACAAATATTATAGATTGCATTCATTTATCACAAAACTTTGTTCACAGTCACCAAGAACATGCAAAGTTGTTCTTTACTATGATCTGTACATGTCTTGAGATTTAAACCCTTAATTTCTCTGATTATGTCATGATTAACATAGGTGACCTTTTTGTTTTCTTGTAGCTGAGTTGGTCAGTCCAGTCAGTTTATGTCAAATGATCATCACAAACCTGAGGAACCGTCCTGATTGATTCAATTTCTTTCATCACATCTCCTCCTGTTTCATGCAGGCGTCTTTTGTACACCATCATCACTTTCTCCACTTCAGCTTGAGGTAAACTTGTTTATTTGCAAAGAGAAGCAGAGGCATGGCAGTATATGGATTGTTGTTGACTAAAAACACACAGTGGTAAGAACTAAATTTGAACAGGTTTTCTGCATTTTTGTTTGTGAGCTTGTTTGTTTTTTTGCAAAGGATAACAATGTTTCCATACACATAGTGAATTTTTCATAGAAAAACTGGATCTTCTTAGTTCTGCCTGTATTTTCTTCACATTGCTACACTGATATGAATGCACAATTTTAAGGGTTTAACCAGACATAGAGGGAATGGGTCAAGGTTGGAAGGAAATCAGACATAGAGGGAATGTGCCACTCCATCTTGGAAGATGAGGGCCAGTTCAAACTATTTTGTTTTTATTGGTTCTTGGAACATTCATAGAACACCCAGACCACATTATTAAGGTTTACAGATAGAACAGCATACATTTTACAGTATTTTCACTATACACATTTACAATGAGATACAGAGGAAATTGAGGTTTAGCTGTGACTTCATGGCTTGATTTTTGTCCATATGCAATGTGACATCTGTATGTGTGGATGTGGTCCAGTGCAGTTATGTGGAGCTTCAGCAAAGATGAATACTGTCAGAAACCCCAGTTTTATTGTTTCACTGTATTTTTTATTTATGTATTTAACACAACTAAAAATGAACGGGAAACCTATAACAGATGATGCAACACATTAACACATAGAGTAATAATAACATAATAAACAATCGTACTGGCAACGATTGCTTGCACTAAGTCAGTAAAAATCCATCAAGAATGCAGTGTTTATTTAAGGTTTTGTTTCTTTCATTACACTCTGAGTTGGCATGTGCTTTTCAAACATTACCTTTAAACTGTTTAATATAGCGGTCATTCCATCCACTCACCTTTAATCTTTAATAGTTTTTGAGATGTTGGTGAAAAATGTGTTCATGACTGCAGATTTCTGGCATTTTGTGTAAATTTAAGCATGTAAGCATTGATTGTTTCTTTTTTTTGTTTTTTTTTCTAAGAAAAAAAGGGTGTGAAACTAAGTTAGACTTGTGTTTGTAAATGAACCCCCCCCCCCCTATGTTGTGTAGCTTTCTGGATTTTATACTTATTGGACTACATACTTATTATATAGGCTATACATAAAATCAAAATTTGCATGTTTTATGTAACTGAAATGTTTAATTATTTGAGCTAAAGAAAATAAGAAATTTATAGAGTATATTTATATGAAACATGTGTCTATGTACTGCATTTGATGTATTTTAACGATATATATAATGGATATTACAGATTGTAACACCTGCATATGTGTATCGGACATAAAGAGCCGCACATTTATGGTGCAGTTACAACTCCGGTTCCATGGGGGTGCCAGGGCGCACAAACTTCCGGTTTCAATAGACGAGGAAGAAAAGCGGCGCTGATTTTGAACTTTGGAGAAGAATGTGTAAACTTAATCGGGCAGGTGTGGCTTTTATTGTTACTGTGGGGATAAGCGTCGCTCTTAGCATCGGATTGTGTTACATTACATTGCCCGTCACACTGTTACAACATCTTTATTGCATAGGTACGTTGTTTTTGTTGTTTCAGTGTTCTTTCGGTTACTTTAACGATAGGCTGCACAGTCAGCTGACCTCAAGCCTGCTAAAGTTAGCGCTAGCATGCCAGTGACTTCATCGTAATGATAAACCTAGCATGGAGTTAGCTTAGCAGCTTGCGAGTGTTTGAATAAACTGACGATAATGCCAATATTAGTGCTTAAACAACAAGGAAACAAACCTAGTATTTATTTGTCATACGATAAACCTTTTGTCTAACGTGACTGCCCATTTTGACTTGATTCATTACTGAGAGTGTGAAGTGTAATTAAAGTGAAAGGAACATTGTCTCACTAATCTTCAGCTAACACATCTACAGAAAGACACCATGGAGCTGTCAGCATTGAACCTGTACAACCAGTTTGAGAGTCTCAGAGCCCAGGTCGACGGCCTGAATGAGAGCATTGAACCACGTAAGTTAATTTCTTACGTAGCTTTGGTATTAGTCACCTTTGTAGAAGCCTTTCAGTGAAACTGCAGTGTTTGTAAGCATTAAGTAACAGCATTAAGCGCATGTGCTCTGGAATTGTGTTATACTTGGTAGCTGTACTAAGGTGGATGTATTTCAGCCAACTTATTAACACCAACCTGCTCCTCCCATCCGAGTACTTGTTAGAGGGTGTGATGAATTGTATGGACACAGAAGCAGCACTGATTATAGAGCCTCTGCATTAGTAATTTAAAGGTTCACTCAGTCAGGGTTATAGAAAGCTAGTGAATATTGATAACGCACCTGATGATACAAATAGAAATTGAAATAACTATTTGGAGTCTAGTATAATAAATAGAAAATCACAATCATCTCCATTTATTTTTTATTTATTCACTTACTACAAACAATCTTATGTTTTTGTCCTCTTTCTAAATAGTATAGATTATAAATAACAGATCTAAATCTCAATTAGGAGCCATCATTAGAAGCAATTGAACATGATTTATTGTAACAGAGAATTCAGTTATGCTATTTGACGATTACAATCCAATGATCCATCACAACAGAACAAAATCCCAGCAGTGATGGGAATTAAGACATGATCCCCTTGAGTGTAGATGCTGATTGTGGCGTTGAAGATAAGATGGAGGCTTGGATGAAGCAAGGATGGGGAGGAGGTCTGTTGCACAAAGGAGTCTGGAAGAGAGAATGAAAGATAAGCAGTACTATTTAAAGAAGAGTTGAGGGTAATTGGTTTGAAGAAAGATGATTGGACTACAGCAATGGTGTTAGCATTGAGCTTTGCAGCGTGGGAAAGTAGAAGTGATGTAATAAATAGACTAACAGCCAAACACTGTAAAAATGGACAGATGAGGAGATACAGATCTTCCTTGTTGAACTTATACATAAATTTTGTAATAAAAATAATGAACTGTATAGTGTGCACAGCAGCAATACAGCAATCCCCTTGTCTTGTTTTCCAGAGTTCCTCCAGATGGCAGTGAACTTTGAGGATTGCCGCAAGAAATGGCTGCAGGCAGGCGAGGAGTTAGTTTCCAGTAAGGAGATGCTGGCTAAAGCGGAGACGGAAAGGGGAGCCTTGGAGGTCAAACTAAAACACGCTCGAAACCAGGTGGACGTGGAGATCCGCCGGCGGCAGAAAGCTGAGGCCGTATATGAGAAGCTAGTCAGTGCTACTCTGTTTTTTTTTCTTTCTACTCTTTCTTTATGTAGCCAGCAGGATTGCTGATGTGAAATTAGATGGAGAAAGAATAGATGAAGATTCATATTCAGATAATGACGATGCCCATTTCACTGTGTAGATTACAATATTAATTTGTTGCTGACTGACAGTTATGTTTCTTTCAACCTTGCGTATAAAAGGAGCGGCAGCTACAGCTGATCCGAGAGCTGCTGGTTTCAGAGAACAACGGTGGCAGCGTCCTCCTCAGTGAGGAACAACGTTCAGCCCTGGCCTTCCTCAGTGCCCACTCCCAGGCAGCACAAGCTGCAAATAGCAACCTCAACTCCAGCCGAAGGTCAGAAGGAGACACTTCTGTTTCTTTCTTCTTCTTCTTCTCCTTTTTTTTTCTTTGCATGGGAGAGGGACAAAAACAAGCTGAGAAGAAATGGCTATACTCTGAGCAAAGACAAGCTAAACTTTTATTGCATGTAGCAGGTTAGCACATATGCATGAACATTTTAAGGGAGAGAATTTCATATGCGTGATTAAAACCGTGTTATTCTTAAACTTGGCATATACACAGACAACTAACTTGATCTGTCTTACAGACTGACTACTATTGATGAATCAGCTTCTTTGGTGTCAGACATCAGCTACGACCATACGGATGACTCTTTGGTAAAATGATCCTTAAAGGTTTATCTTATGAGAACTGCTGATCAAATGGTGTGACAGCATAGTTGGTTTTTTTTTTGTTTGTTTGTTTTTGAGAAACATCGATAGTAAATTGGCCAAGTGAATGTAAAATGCTGTGGTTTTCTGCAGGACTGGGATTCATCTGTGATGAAGAATGTTAGATTGCGCAGACGACAGAAACGAGTGAGTCATGCCTTAAATCACATTTTGCACACATGAATCTTTTCTTGCATTGATTTTTTTTATTTTCGGTCATCTTGACATGTTTCAGTGTCAGAAGGGACATCAGATGTCTCTTGATATTTACTTTGGTTCTGAAAATTCAATTTCAATCCACAGCGTTCCTCCAGAAAACCTTCAGAAGGTCACTTGCAGGCAGTGAAGAAGCCTCGCTCTACTGGATGCCCATCAGATAGGGTAATACTGACCTCTGCAGCTGGATGTGCTAAATAACAAAAAAAAGTTGGATCTGAAAGCCTAAGTTTAGGTGATTGTATCTATAAATTAGTATGAAATATCTCCTTCCTTACACTTCAGATGAATGAATCCATTGTGGCCAAAACAACCATCACTGTACCTGTAAATGGTGGCGCTGTTGAGGCTGTCTCCACCATTGAGACCGTGCCCTACTGGACGCGCAGCAGAAAGAAGAGCGGTAAGAATTTTCTTCATCTTTTATTTATAGCCTCTTACGAACACACTTGAAAGCAACATGATCATACCAAACAACCAATGTACGCTTGAAATAAGTGATTTGGACTGGTGAGTTTCCTCAGTGTTTTGGGGTTTGATTTACATGTGCAGTTGCTCCATCTTGGATTGATACACCGACTACTGACAACTCTGAAACTGTCAGCAAGGCTCCCAGAACACCTGTCTCAGAATTTCCAGCCCAACTCCAGACTCCCAAAACTAATGAAGGAGGAAAGAAACATCACTTCATCTCCAAAACAGTACGGCTAAATTCTTGACTAAAATGAATTCACTGTAAATAACTGAGATTATATTTCTATCTTCTTAATCCCTACCGGCCTGTTTAATTGAGTTGTGTTCCCTCTATCACTAAGGTGATCCGGTCAGAGTTTTGTGTGTCATGTGGAAGAAGAACAAAGTTTGGCAAGCTGTATCTTCGCTGCCAGGATTGCAGGGCTGTGGCCCATCCTGAGTGTCGTGACCTGTGTCCCATGCCCTGTAATCCTACTGCTCTTAATACTCCTGTCAAGAACACAGAGGTACATTGTTCTTATTGGTCTCATCGCTTCTATTCCATATATTTTGCATGATTTGTTTGTTTTTTTTCACACCTACATAGTAATTAATGGATATAATTCTTGTGTAGTCTACTCTGGCTGACTTTGCTCCACTCACTGCTCCAATGATCCCTGCTTTGGTTATCTACTGCATTAAGGAGATTGAAAAAAGAGGCCTACATGAGGTGGGAAAGGCATTATTGAAGCCCTGTTTACTTGTTGTTTGCATGTTAACAGTTCAATCCTTTCCGTTAAGTGATTACAGTAGATTGTTTCCATCTAATTAGGTATTTTACTTCAAAGTAAGGCTGGACAGTGAGAGCTGAGCTCTAGTTTCTTTTTTCCTCCTTACCCCAGGTTGGCCTGTACAGAGTCTCTGGCCATGAGCGTGTGGTGAAAGAGCTGAAGGAAAAGCTCATTAGAGGAAAGACTCTACCTCCTCTTAACAAAGTCGAAGACATCAATGTCATTGCAGGCGTCCTCAAAGACTTCCTCAGAAACCTTCCAGAGCCACTGCTCACCTTCCACCTCAACAAAGCCTTCATGGAAGCAGCGGGTGAGTTTGTGAGACTGCAGGACCTGCAGGAATTCTTATGTGTTTGAATGTTTGACGCTTTTATTTTAAGAGAGCTGAATTTGCACTGAGTGGTTGAATTTCCTGCCTGGGATAGAGGGAAGAGTATCCATGAATATAAAATATCTTATGTACTTATTATTTATTAATTTATTTTTTTGGATGTTGTAGAAATCCAGGATGATGACAACAGTCTTGCTATGTTGTATCAGACGATGAGTGAGCTGCCTCAACCAAACCGAGACACACTGGCATGTGTGATGATCCATCTGCAGAAGTAATTTTCATTCCTTTCTTTAGTCGTGTTAAGAATCCTTTTATCTTATTTTTTAATTTACTCTGCTTAACACACAAGATTTACAGTTTGTAATTATGAAATATCTTGAATCTGCATTATAAGGTCAGCTCAAGAAGACTGAATTTCTTTCTATTATCAGGGTGTCTCGAAGTGTGGACACCAAGATGGATGTAATTAACCTGGCCAGGGTGTTTGGCCCCACCCTTGTAGGTCATGCTGTTCCTAACCCAGACCCTATGACCATCCTGCACGACACCAACAGGCAACCAAGGGTAAAGTGAAGAATAAGGACTGGCTTCTCAGAATAGGCATTATGTTTAGAACTCTAATGCATGTCTTATAAAGTAGCACATAGTGTGTGTGTGTGGGTGTATATGGTTGTACCTCAGTGATCAGTGTTTGTCCTTCAGTGTGTTCGACTATAAATAATGGATTTATTTCCTGTCTTCTTAGGTTATAGAGCGCTTGCTCAGTATTCCAGACAGCTATTGGAGCCAGTTTGCTTATCCAGATAATGCAAGCATTGACAATGCTCACAACACTGACACTCCAAACCACAAAGGTAAATCAATGAAAGGTACATTAAGGCTCCTCTAAAATGAATACCCCGATAAAAGTGGGTTTGATTAGATTTTAGAACTGGTGGAGCAAATGGGCATACGATAAAAATCGAATCAAATCAACCAACCGTAATCCTTTTTTTCAGCATTTATACTCAACAGATTTGATAATATTGTCTTGTTAAATTGAGGTTCTGTTGATTTATGGGTTTATCTGTAGTGAGCATACTGGGGCCAGTAACTACTCCAGAGCACCAGATGATGGCCAAAACACCTTCCTCCAGTTCACTGTCTCAGCGCATGAAGCACACCCTCTCCAGTACCACCTTGTGAGTTCACTCTCTTTTTCCAATTCTTTTCACAGTAAACAAGATCGAACATACATCTTATCCAGACTGAAATATTATCAATTTAAATCAGTCAAATTTACATCTGATGGTTTAGTTTTTTCACATCTCTGCCCTTAACATAACAAGCTTCAGGAAGTTCCAAAACACACACTTTAATTCTGAGCTAAAGACAGACAAATTTTAAATTTCCAGTTTATTTTTCTGTATACTATTACAAAGACCCTGAGGTGGATAAGCAATCAAGAAAATACATAAATAAAAGGATTCTGGCTATAATTTATTTGGTACTGTATATGATGCATCAACTGGCAAAACGACAGAATATTGGACATATTTGACCTCACATCTCATCCTGTGAGCAACATCATGTAGAGACTTCAGGATTTTGGAACTTCAGCATTCAAAATCCACATACTTGTCTAAAAAAAGTGAAGCTGTTTCTTCCCTCATAGGTTCCAAGAGACATGACACATTTCAATTTGTCACATTGTAAAAAGTACGACAACATGCTGTGCCACTAGCAGTACTTACTGAGACTCTGGACTAGAGCAGATCCATTGCTGTTCTTGTCATTTAATCAGCGGGAAATAAAACATCTTGTGTATATTCCTATGCATTTATGATATTAACTAAAGGCTTCAGGTTGGATATGCAGAAATTTGTCTCTCAATATTTTAGGTCGAGAGAATTGGAAAATGTTGGATTGTGAAAGTTTTTCAGGGCGCTAAAAGCCACGTGTAGGTAACATGACTGCCTGCATAGAGAGCAGTCAATAATCAAATTAAGTTAACTCAGTTGTCCACATATAAGGAATTGATTCCTGGTTTTCCCTGAAAACAATAATCTTAATAGTGATTCAGTTGTTTGTCTGAAATGACTTTTACTAACCTTGTAATTCTGTGTGCTCCCTTCAACCCCGACCTCTTCATCCTTAGATTTGGGAGCAAGAGCAAAGCGACATCTGCCTTTAATCGCCAGGGAAGCTTCTTTGCTTCCCCCCAGCTGAAGTAATGGTAACGAAAGAAAAACCCCTCACTACATTATGCTTCTAGGTTACTTACTGCAGTAAATGAATATATATGTATATTTATATAATCATGTTGGAATATGACTGCAAATTTAGCACAATAACTTTACCAATTTAATTACTGAAGATATTTTTTAAGAAAGCTTTCTAACAAGATTTTTGTTCTTTTTAAAAGATGAGAGACTGTAGGATTTGTTTTTGTTTTTTTTGTATCTTTAATCACTAATGTTTTATTATCGGCTCCGTCTCTGATTATAAGAGTTTTTAATGACCGAGCAACCATACTCACACTAATTTAGGGATTGAGATTTCCTACTTCATGTGATGTTTAATGCTGTTTTCATTGCTGCCCCCCCCCCTCCCTGAACATGTGGTTGTAACCACAGTTACATGGATGCATCATAGACCATAAGAAAGTCATTGGTATGCATCAGCACACATGAAAAGCACACAGAGCTAGAATGAACAAAGAGGTGAGAATCACTAATGTTGGCTTGTTGAGAGCATTGGTTGCCGTATCATTTAAACATTTGTTTTAATGATTTTATGTTTTGTTTTATATATTCATGTTGACACGCTCTGATCTTTACCAATCATGGCATTTTTTTGAGAAAAACTTTCAAATACTTAAAAAATGTATTCTGTGTAAACACTGATACCCGCTGGGAAATTAGAATGCTTTTTGCACACTGTAAAAACCAAAGTATTTTCTACATGGTAACATTTACCACTAGAGGCTGCTGTTGCACCACTTTCCATATGCAATCGTAACCTATAAAGACACCATACTGTATACTATGTACGTAATCAGTCAGAAATCCTGGCACTCCTTTCATTTAATATATCAGCAGATATTTAGAAGTTACTCTACTAATGTGGGATGGTTAAGTCAAGAGATCTGTGACTCACATTTATGCGGTCATAACAAAATAAAGCTTCAGCTGTTTTAATGTATTACTGTGAAAACTCATTTGCATGTATGCACAGTGAAGTATTTGTAGTTTTCTTGCACCATTAGACTAACGATAAGAAAAGTCAGTCTTCTGCTCTCATCATCACCTGTAGCAAATCTCTGTGTGATGGTACCGGTTCAAATAAAGGCATTTGGGGATATTCATTTGGATAAAAACTGAAACATTTTGACTTATGAAAACTACATCCTGCTGTTTGTGGTTGTAAGAATCCTGTAATACTGCATTATTTTATGCATATTTGATACATCCTTGTACATGTATTCCTTCATGTGGTTCTTTTTCTCTAATGAAATAACGTGTAAACGATTGTCATTCATCAGAGAGCCTGTGAATCTTAACATTTATCCCTTTGTCTTTGCTCATATAACGTGGAAGTCAATGCCTGAACTAAAAATAAAACGCAAAGAGTGTTTCTTTTGTGTTGGTAGGTGGTATTTGTGCAAGAGGTTAGACATGTGGGTTGAGGAACCCGGCTGAAAGAAGACTGTAGAGCATGTAAGACCAGACGTGTAGGATATGATTTTGTTACTGGTAATTCAGTCTAAACAAAACCCTCTTATACTTGAACATGGATTAGTATTACCCTATTAAATCAGCAGGTTATTAATGCACAGCCTAAAACCTTTCATGTTTAATGCTTAATTTTTCCTGGTGTAAATTGAATGCTGGCCATTGCTATTGAAGATCTTCAGTGAAAGGGCAAAAGCACCGTACCAGCTATTCCAAAGCTGACGTGGCACTGAATGATAATGCAATTTGGCTCATTGTTCCAATAGTCATTACAGCTATTTCCATAATCTGTTGGGCTGAATGGGCAGGCGATGAGGTCCAACATTATTATGAATTAAAGCAGTGATCATTTATACATCTTATAGTTATTCCATTAACAGTTGCTGTGGAGAGTGCTAAGCCAGGCTGAACCCATTGACATAGATTTTCTATGGCCTCATTTAATACAGAGCTTCAGCAACGCATCAACCCCTCAGAGATCTAAGCCCAGCTGTGTCGAGTGTGTGCGTGCGTGCGTGTGAAAATAGTGTGCGCATAGTTCATCCAAATTGGTTTGTTCTCTCTTCCTTTCATTCTCTGTCTCACACACAGCGAGCCTCGAATGACTGCAAAAAAAAAAAGACCCTCCAAAAATGTTTGAATTTCAAATCAGCATTAATAGTTCATTAGCCTGAAATAAGGTCTCCTGTGTGTCGATCTGTCCTCTCATCGGGGGATTGTGTGTTTATTTATGCTGTACGGTGCAGCATACGCTCGACGGTTGCAGACATCAAACAGCTGGCTGTGTGCAGTGTGTCTCTGTAGCTCCATATTCCAGCATGCCCCAGTGTGCAGTGATAGAGCTCTGTTCTGCTATGGGACCAGCGAGGGCCAAATGAGTAAGTAGTCCAATTAAGAGCTCTTAAATAAATTACAGTGTAAGCTGGTAAACACATAACAACAACACTGTTTAATTCCTCTATTTATACAGTGAATTGCAGGCAGTGATGGCAAAGGGAACAACAATACTACCACCACCGTCTCTGGAAACTGAATGTAATCAATAAATTACCCAATTCACAAGGTTTACTTATTGCCATTATTGAGTGAAAATAAAGTGTACGTGTCAACCTTTCGGCCGTGTGGCATGTACACGCCGTCTACACCATTGTCTGCTTAAGGTCAGGCTGATGTCAAAGAAATGGATGACTGTCAAACCCGAACATCTAATAACGCATCTAATCAATACATCTCTGAAGGAAAAAAAGTCAAGTAAAGCACCAGAGAAATGCTCTGTACACATTAATTCTGTGTTTTGAGAACTTGATCTTCAGAGTGGAAAACCTGTTTGTGAATTAGGCAAGGCATCATTGAGGTATACTTTTAAAATCATATTAAGAAAAGGAGCTGGGCTGAACCAGCTGTTAATTCAGGTGTTTTGCCGAGCAAAGGTACGGTCGTGCATATTCATAAACGGGGCCAATAAACTGCTTCTTTAGCAGGCTAAGCATGTGCTTGAAAAGTGGTCCTCCAGATTTGTTTTTGACACTCTTTTCAATGAATTATGTGACAGATTGTGTGATCAATATGCTTTCCATTTGGCGGATTAAATGCACAGCACTGCGAACAGCTGAAATACCAAACTATGTTCTGCCTTTAAAAAGCCTGAAAACAGGACAAGAATCATTGTCCAATTTACACCCACCCGTGTTTGCTTAACTGCAAATAATTGTGTGGCTTTTTGACTTTCAGAACTCTTGCGCTCTCGTCTTCAGCTCCATCCCTTGTTCTCTTTTTTTTTTAAACTCCACTCCCTCTCCACCCCTCCTTTGAATCGAACCGCTGTCTTAGCTGGCTACCATTTGTGGTCGATACCTTGTTACCACAGAGAAATCAATTATCTCAACCAAGCAGCAGGGGAAAGAGGCAATAATGAAAGAATGCACCTCCTTCCCAGACGATGGCAATGGTCATTAAATATGAATTTATCATTGGTTGAGGAGATTTATGTTGCGTGATGTGGGCACAGAGTTCGTGCTCGCTTTGCCGCAGAAGTTCTGGTTACAAGTGTTAATGGAAACGTTCGCAGACTGATGTTCAACCAAATATTTGATTATTATAAGCTGGCCTGCGCGTTTTGATGACATTTTTCAACGAAATAAGCGGGAGACGTGCTGGAAAATGAAACACAAGTATTATATAGCATTTGCATGCCGCAATATTATCATGGCATTCATGAAAACTCCAGGTTCTTTCCAGTGATGTCTCAGTGCTACTCACTCAGGTGACAGTGGAGATGGTGGTGATGGCTGACTTATGGGTGGGCATGCCTACAATACCTGCCTGTTTGGGTCTGTAATGAGCCGTTCTGGCTTGTCTGACAGGTGGTGCAAGAATTGGAGGCACTGCCATCACCACAGCCGGAGAAAAAAAGTGCAAATGAGAGAGAAAGAAGAACGGAGCAGAGATGGAAAAATGTGTAATTCGGGCTTGCTCTTAAGGCAGCAATAAATTCCATTTTAATGGGGCACCACAAGCAGTAGCAAGCACTCAGCAGTCTGTTGTGTTTGATGCCAAATTGTGCAGAATAAACAGATTTGCTGTGCAGCTGGTCCAAACACACACTTTCTCTCTGTCTCTGTCTCTCTGACTCGCTCTGTGCCCATCTTTTCCACCTTACATTCTCACAAATCTCCATGCCACACGCACACACACCACCTCTTCTTCCTCATTCCCTTGCTACCTCTCCATCTCTTCTCCTCGCCTCCCCTGCGTGGACGCACAAGAATTAGACAAATCATCACGAAAAGATGGCAACTGTGCTTTGATTTATTTTCTTCCACTTAACTGAGTACTCATCTCCAGCTGTCACGCACATGTTCAAGGCAGAATATTTGTTTTAAGAGGGAAAGGAGTGAGCTGCACGCCACTAATGAGAAACAACATGTCACATCAGGCTCGTTTCTTTCGTAGAAGACGAATTGTCGGTCATCCTGACCGATTTTATGGTAGACAAAGTTGCACATGATATACGCAGACTCTGTATTTGAAGTCGGCATTGCACACTAACCAAATTGTAGGCGATGGTTTGCAAAAAATAGAGCTGGTTGCCAAGAGTGCTTTGAAAACCCTGAGAAACATTTTACGCTAAATAATATTAAATATACTGAGGCATCTGTTTAGTATGCTGGCTAAAAGCAGTCCCTCAAATACCTGCTACGTTGATATATGTGGTTCCTGCCAGCTGAATGACAGTGTAAGCACTAGTGGATACATCCAGACACACACACCTGCACACCTATGACTTCTGTTTCTATTGTTTCCACGATAAATGTATTGTTTTTCAAAAACCAGCTCTGTGTGCAAACACACACTAAAATAACTGTACGTGTGCTGCTGGATCCTTCTGCGTGCCCTCCTGCACCAGTGCATCTGAATACATTTAACTGAATGTGAAAGTGTGTGTGCACAGGTGCATGATATGGAATATTGGGAGACGGCGGTATGCATGAAAGGCTCAGTGTTTGCTAGT